AGATTGTTCTCTTTTTTCTAATATAATCTTACAATAAATGTTTTTAAAAATGTCTGTTACTGCACATGTGGAGAGGGTTCTCAAGGGTATATACTTAATTGCGAAAAGCTGGTTCTTGGAGTATGTGCATTTTACACTTCATTGGATATTGCCAAATCCCTGTCCAAGATGTGTTTGTAGCAGTATATACACAAATGAAAAGTATATGAGCTTCTGAAACAAACAGTAAAGTTATTCGCAGCTTCATCTTCCTAGGCAAGAGTTTCCTGGACTAGCAAATCATGTTAAAGAGGATAAGTTGTGTGGTTATAGATGCTTTTGATTCTCAAATGCTAAACTTCTGTTTCTTTTGTCTTGAGAATCACTCACATGACATTCTATATTCAAACAAATACAACTGGAATGTTTTCAATTATTAATCTTCTGTTGTATTTTATTTATAGTAACAGCTTGGACATGATCCACCTAAGAGTGCCCTATATACATTTTTTTCTTTTAAAGATGTTATGTATATATACTACTATAAATTCTTATGTTCGAAGCTTGTCAGAGCCCTCAGAAAACGTGACATTTCTCTATACAACATCCCTACAATTTATTTCATTACAAGTTGGAGGGGATATCATAATATCTCTTTGTAAACACAAAATATCCTTTATGTGTGTACCAAATTAACAAGAAATATAATTTTCTCTAAAAGAAATTCAAGAAAGGTCTTTATAAAGCAAAAACAAAAACCTCAGCCTCTGCCTTTAAAGAAGTATACTCATACAGTACTAAACACATCGATGAGTAGTTTTAAATTTCACTTATAGAATGGTAGTTGGAAATCTTAAAAGTAGTTACTTGGAGTAGTAATATTAATTCAGTCTACCAAAGTCTAAATTTAAATCACAGTAAAGCTTAACTGTAATACTTGTATTAATTGGGGAGAGAAACTTATTCTTTTCTTTCATAAGGGAAATTACTGCATACTTACAGTGCAAACTATATCCACTAAAAATTGTCAGGAAATATTTTCCTTGGTATTTGATTTAGTGCGAGTGTATGTATAAAATCTGGTTACCATGTTTAGGGTTTGAAAACAAAATTGCACACAAACCAACATTCTGTTAATAACCATAGAACACTAATGTTTGTATTTTATTAGAATACAACCAAAATATACACTTAACAACTTTCCATTATTTTAGATTACAAGACTACATTTCTTTTAAAATAGCAAAACTACAAATTCAAAATAGATTGCTAACCACTTACAATTATTAAGAATTAAATTACACAATTAAGTGACAGATTTTTGCCCTTCACCCCCAAATCACCTATATCAAACTTACCATAAATACTTTATAGGACAAAATATTTAAATGAGAGGTATAAGTCATGTGCATGTTCCTGTCTTTGCACTGTCAATGTGTACAATGTTGGAATTTTAGATCTCATTTTTTAATCTCACATGCAAATTAAATTATTTAAATACTGTGGTCATTTACTGTGAGAAAAAAATATTTCTTTCTATAAAAACATTTCAAATATCTCTTTTTACTAAACTATCCATTCCCAGTAAGGCTAATGAGTTCCAACATGTTGTCCAAGACAAATTCTAAAGGGAGGCTATTTCCGTTTTGATTTCTACTTTCATTTATGATATATATGAAATATCATATTTAAATTTAAAGTATCAGTGTTTAATTAATGCTCTGGTCCAATTTAGTATTTTGTAGACATCTGGATGCTACCAAACCGTCCTTGAAAATTTAATTTTCAATGTAATGTGGAAAAACAGGCACCGACAACTGTAAACTTATTTTTTAGTTGAGTCTACACAATTCAGAAACAAAAATTAATAGCATGTAAAGAACCGAAACATAGACCAAAGGAAAAATTCAAGAGTAAGACCATTTTGCACGCAGCATGTTGTAAATAAGCATTATTTAATCAGCGGATGGATGAGGTATGGTGTGAATTATAATTTTTTCACTACTGTTGTGGCTTTTGCAAATTTCTAAATTGCTCTGTGACCGTTTTCCATTTCTTAAATAATTTGGTTGGTTTTCAAAAATGTTTATTCAATAATGTGAATGTAGTGTTTTGAGCTCTTTGGGGAAGAAACAGTTTATATATAAATTAATTATTTAGACTATCCCTTTCTAAACAAACTCTTAACATTCCCAATAAACTGAATGTAAATGAATGCAGACAGTCAGGATTCCATTTAGCAGCAGAAATAGCTGGTGTGAAATGCAGATGAGAATATGCAAGTCAGAGCCATACGTATTCAAAACAGGGGAAAAAATATAAACCCAAGAATAAACATAGACATTTTAAGACCTCTCCATAAAGAGCTGATTGCTTAGCAAAAGTATTTGAAACTATTAACTATAATTTCATTTTTCATTATTTCAGAGAAAATTTGGTAAAAACTTTCAGTGGTGAGGAAGTATATATATTGTATCTCATCTCTAGATTTAATATATTCACACTGTTCTTCTAAGTGTTCGAGGCAATTAAAAGATTAAAAAATTAAACATAGTAGCTTAGATGTCTTCTGTCTTTATAAATACACATAAATCCTTGCCCATATGGTTTATTTATTATATGACTTTTTATTTTACTAACAATATTTCAAATATATTTTAATTATCATAAATTAATAGCTTTAGATCCAAAGCAGCCAGAATATTAGCTGTAAATTAAAATGTCCCCCCCAATTTTTTCTGAATAACTAAGATTAGAAAGAATTAATTAAAAAATGGCTTGGACATTCATATTTTGATGAAAACCAAATTTATTTTCACAAGTCAATCCTAACATTTGAGCTTCATGAAATTTTCCCAAAGCCATCCATAATTTGATCACTACTGTCTGATATACAAATATTTGGAAATCTTTTAAAAAACATGCTCCTACTTAGAGCTTTGAGCTTACTATGAGTTCCTGGAACATTTTGAGCCTGCAAATCAAGTTACAAACACTCTTGTTAGCAGTCTGATCTTGCTACAACTATTCTTATGAATTACTTTTTAATAGAGTGATTTGTTCTGGTTCACTTAAAAAAAAAAAACTATCTTCCTTAAGTTTTCCTTACAGTAAAACATCAACACATATTTATGAGTATCGTATCAAAAGGTGACTTAACCTCATAGATCAGTGTGACTACTTTGAGTAGGTAAACAATGCAAACACCATGAATGCAAGATAGAACGTTTTGAGCGTAAAGCCAGTCACAGACATGATACTGAACTCTAATAAGTTGCCCTATAATCACAGGGTTCTCACAGGCTTTTCTTTTCAAGACACGTAGAATGCATGAGAAACGAGCTATGCCTGCTATTTAGTTTTCTGAAAAGCTGCCTTCCATGTGAGGAAGTGACTAATTTTTCATTTCACACCAAAAACGGCATGAAAAGGCAAAACAGAAGAAGGCTAAGGGTTTTGTGTTATACGAAGGAAAGGTGAGTCCTTCTTAAACAGGCAGGAAACATACCATACATATTCAGAGGAAAGGACACATTGGAAGCATTTGCAAGTGCTAACAAAATGTGAAAAAATGTTTATGTTAATGTTGTGAGTTTGTTTTCTTTACATGCAGTAGGCTTACTTATTATTAAATTACTAAAACAATGCTACTTGAATTACAGCATATAATCTCAGAAATGCAAAAAGATTGTGTGAAGAAAAGATGTCAAAGAGTTAATTTAACCCTTTCCGTTGTCAAAATTTTTGCATTTGTTCTGTTATTCAACAAATATATAGTATTACCACTCCCCACCACTGTTGTCTACCTAATTCTATCTCTCTATATATGTATATATTGTTTTTTCCTATTCACTCAAATAAAATCTAATAATCCAATATTTGGGAGAGCATAAGGCAGTAAATAGAAATAATTTATAGAGCATGATGCATTTTTAGAAAAAAGAGAAGTACATACTGAAATCCCATTGGTTGTAAATAAATTTGTATTCATTTTTCCCATGATCCTTTAGAAAATTTACTTTTCCTCAGACTTTTGCTAGCAGTTTGTTATAATCTAGAGGGTTTTTTTTAACAGATGGATTACAAATTGGCAGCTACTTATATTCCAGTGAGTAAAGCTACAGTACATTTCACGCACTGTATTTGTGATTGTTCTTCCTTTTTATGGGGATGTGAGTTTTCCCCAAAGCCAGAATTTATGGCTGTCTTTCTTTCTTTCTCTTAACAAATCCCAGCTGCGTGCTTTCCCATTAGGATGCAGTATACATCATGATGTTTCCCTTATTTTATTAAAATGCTTTCCCATATCCTATTAAAATATTAAGCATTCTGTCCCTGTAAAGCTCAGCATATATTCTAAAGACACATAACTGAGCACCAACTTCTCTCTGTGAACCTGTTATCCTGACAAGTCATAAGGAATCCTGGGAGGAACATTTATGCCCTTCAGTAAATCAATGCTCCAGGACACTAAATGTAACCCCTGGAGTCTGAAAGGAGTAATGCACCTCTCCAAATTCCCAAACCATGCACCAAGAGTGAATGGCTCACTGGGAAAGTTCCTGTTGATAATGTGAGCTGTATCTTATGTCTTCCCTCCAATCCTACCACCAGGTAGCCAGTTCTAGAGTGGAATGATGTATCTGTTCATAAGAACATATAGCACAATTGCATGGTCAACTCCGTGCTTAAAGGCCATGCAAGGGAAATAAAGCACCTTATTACAATGTCAAATTTGACACTTTCTTAGCTCAGTTATTTATGTAACATAATAAATTCAAAAACTCAGAGTGTAAAACATTTACAAATGTAAAGCCCCTCTTTTGAGATAATTCTGATACTTTGCAGGTATAAGTTTAGTTCTTGGAAAATTGGTTCAGATGAATGGTTTGCCCTTGCTAATGCCATATCCACCAGATACAGTCTTATTCAGATTACTGTTCTTGTGCTTTAGCAAAACTCCATGGAAAGCTCTTATGAGTTAATATAAGGATGAATAAAACAGAAGACAGTATTTTTGCAGGTGAAGGATTCTTTTTCTTTAAATTAAATAGAAAACTATGTAGCCACAGCTCTAGGAAGCTCTTCTAGGTCTCTGTGATGTCTTCGATTTCGTTTCTTCTTCATTTCCTGCATGTGCTTCCACTTTGGGCCGCCCTTGTTTCGCTGTCTCCGCTTCTCCCTGTGCCACATCTGTTCGCAGTACTGGTCGAGGCTGAAGTTTGGGCTGCTAAGGATTTGGATATAGTCTTTGTATCTCAACCGTGACTCAGCCAACAGATCCTTGACCCGCCCCTCCTCGTGCTCTGCCCTCTGGGTATTTTCCATCTGTTCATTCTCAATGACATTCAAAGTCAGCTTCACTATGGTGTGGATAAAAGTGTGCTCCTGTGCTTTGCAGTAATACATCCCAGAGTCCTTCTTCTGCAGACTTCGAATCAGTAGCCCGTATTCTGTTTTGATGATCCTTTCATCGGGTTTCAACTGCAGAATTGGAAAAATGTAGGCAATAAATGAGAAACAGAGAGGGCTATGAACAAAAGCAAAGAGGCTACATAGTTTTACTTAGATGAACCTAAAAGATACAATCCCTGTCTCTCTGTCATTAAGCATAGTATTGTCAGCCATAGTCGAAGAGAGTGACTAAACTCTCTTTCAACTAAAGTAACAGCCCCCAAAGATGTATGGGTGTGTCTTATTACATCTAACTGAGCCTTTGGAATATAGTTAGTTTTTCTTCCAGTCTCCAGATAGGAATAAAAAGCTGTGAAAGTTAATGAAGTAAACCTGGAAACTATCAACTGACCATCTTTACAAAGATTTCAGATACTAATTGGAGTACTAAGAACACCAATTTGTTTCTGAATTTCAGAGCTAGAATGTGACTCTTGACAGTCATTGTGTAGAAAAAGAGCTTTAGTGCACACTACTACCTGTAACGTAGAAGAGAGCAGTCATTCCAAAAGGAATTTAATGTTGGCTAGATATTGCCAAATAAATGATCTGAGCCGCTTATGGAAACTGTAAGTGGTGACTTGTTAAAAGTCAAGTGGAAAGGCATGGAGGATACAGCCTTTTGGATGTCAGGGCTGTACTGAATAGGACCATATAGTCAGAAGTTTAGCAACATTTAAAGCTGAATTTCTCTTTTTACTATGGATTGAATTTTGATACTTTATGTCTGTATGATACTTTAGACTATGTCATTTGTGGAAATATTTGCCATACCTCAGTATACTATAACATGGTAATGTGATTTCAAGTGTGAGAAAGCTCAATGAACAAAAAGAACCTCCACTGAAATGTGACGCTCTCTGCCCTTTGAAGCAGTAGTACTGAAAGACAATTCAAACATTTAAGCTTGCCTGGCCTCCAATCTGGTGTGAATAGAGAACCTATCTTCAATAAACTACAGGCATGTTTACCGACACAAGAGCCCTGCTTAATGTGGAGTATTGTTGAGCGGCTCGGCATTAAGTAGAATAACAACAAAGAAGTCTGGAAGATTTCCCAGTTTACACATCTGCCCCTGTATTGTAGACTTAGAGTTGATGGAAATCAAGGAGGCATAAAGACGGCTAAATTAAATTTATTCACAGTGGGTGGACTATACTTTGCATCTTTATGTGAAAAATATGTAGGAAAAATCCCTCCAGTTCTGGAAATATGAGAAAAGGCAAAGAAACATCTCTGGCTACCAGCCCAGTTAACTAACAAGTATATGGCCAACCACCTTCTATGCCAGAGAAGTGCAGCTGGCGGGGTACCACACAAGGCCAAAGGCAGGTCACAGCTCAGATCCCTGGTTAATGAGGCTGAATGGTCTCCAGCCCTGCCCTTGCGCTACAACGAATCCACACCGTCAGGGGTTTGTTTGTTTCCCTTACTTTGCCCATTTGGTGAATTGGTGTGTAGTAGATTTTTTTTTTTTTCCTAATGGATTTATCTAAAGGCCCACATGTTTTTAAATGCTACTGTAATACAAACTAATGTTGAAGTAACTTACATTCTCAGAAACTATAGGGATCTGCTGCCAAAAATAAAAGGGAATTTGAATTGGTAGAGCTCTAAAGGATCAGTCTTAAACAATAATATCAATCTCAAATGTAACACATACTACATATCTTCCTTTAAATAATTTTATTGTAGGAATTATTGTTTTTTCATTTAAACATATCTTAGAACATGAAATTGAAACTCTGACTCCACAGCCCACGTTCTGGTCCCTATCTGCTCTGCTTCCTATGACTACTCATTTATCTTCCCCAATTGGTGTCCCATTTATCAAGTTGGTGACACAGCGTACGGTGTATTTGGGGTGTTAAAAGTAAAGCTCTCTGAAGGTTGAGTGTGAAGTATTATTAGCAGCATCGTAGACTGCTGCCATATTGCTGGAGAGGTGATGTTCTGAAGCCTTTACTTCAGTAATTCTTTAACGGAAAATGGCCTGTGGTTACCAGCATGATGACCAAAGTGCGTGACTTCCGTTCCGTTTCATCTCTGGGTGTTCTTTCCTAGCTGGTATTCTTGCTAATGTTTAAACTGCGTTTAATGTGGCTTTTAGAGACTGTCACAGCTCTGAGTCACTAGTTTTTATTGTCCTTTTTAAGCTTCTGACAGGAAGGAATGATGACTTTGTGACTTCACACATACTATGCAACACTTCATCATTATTTTTGCTATTCTCTTTTTGTGTCCCATTTATGTTATTTTACTCTGAAGTCTGGCCCCCTTCCCTCCTTTCCAGTCTACTTCTGTCCCTAACAGGACTCAGGGTTTCATAAACACCTGACATTTCATTACTCCATCGTGGTCCTTTACCTTTCCTTTCTTTGATGGAATGCTTACTTCTTCTTTTGATTTTTGACCTACAGATAAAAAGTTTGCTTTAATGAATTTCTTTTTGGATTTATTAGATCAAAAAGTCTATTCGATCATTTAAGTGATTTTTTTCTCTTCCTAAAATTTCAAAACTATGCCTTTCATGAAATGGCATCTCTAATAAAACACATTTTGAATTGATGTATTTTCATAGGATTTTTGCAGTCTAGAGATAGAAATCTGTGACCCAGAAATTAAGTGGTTGATTAACATTTGCCTGCTTTACATTCCCATTCTCTGTAGTGCTTTCATTCCATGCTGGAATAGGATGCATTATGCAGACTGCATCTCGACAGTGAAATGTCAGCACAGTCAATTTAGAAAATTCAGCTCCTCTACAAAGAGATAATGTAATCTCTGACCAGTGATTTAAACTCATGGAATTTTCTTCACTCTAGAAGTGATAAGTAAAAACTGCTCAGCCTTACATATCAAAACCATGCTTGAACCGGGGTCAACTATCCATTTGCTTAATGTGAGCAAGGATAATAAATTTGGCATTATTCAATGTAGATCTTCAGTGAAGGGCAATTCATTTGAAGTGAAAAGAGAAACATGGTAAGGGACAAAGGACAGTTAGGTCCTAAACAGCAGGTAAAGGTCAGTGACTTCCTTCTCTGATAATAGCAGCCTAATGGTAATTCCTTTGCATATAATTCACCTGTCAGGTCTTTCATAGCTAAAGCACTGCACGTGTCTTGGAAGTGACTAGGGATTCAAGAATATCTCCCTTCTTCAACAAACATAGGAGATGACTTATTTAAAAATAGTGCCGAGGCAACTGGCTCATTATTTAAAGAAAAAAAAATCGAATGAATACATAACTCACTCCTAGATTAACTAATATCTTTAATTAAATGTAAATATAAAATGTAAACTGTAATTGTAAAAATAAAATCATAAAATGACTAGAAAATATATATTTGCTGTTTCATTGGGGAAGGAAATTCTAAGCACAAGTGAGAAATATAGATATAAATCAATAGATTTGTCTATATAAAACATAAAACTTGTGTGTGTTAGGGACACACAAAAATTTTTACAGATAGAAAACAATAAAAAGTTACATATAATATGCATAACATTAAAATGATAATATCTATAATATAAAGGGGTTTGTTAAAATAATTTTTAAATGAATATATCAACATAAACCAAGCAAATGATACGTAAATTTACCAATATGGTGATTTTGATGAGAAATTAGCAATATGCACTTGTTTATCCAAAGCTGTAAGATAATTAAAGTCTTTAACTCACTTATTTTACATTTAAGAATTTGTCCTAAGAAAATAGACAAGTAGAGAAAGATTTAGCTAAAGGAAAGTTGATTGCTTTTTTAAGAGGTTACGTGAACTTAATAAAACATGGAACATCTGTGGATGACTGTGTCATCAGGATGGCAGGGATGTGGGACAGGAAACATGGTATTAAAATTGAATGGCAGGGGAAAATGCTTATAGTGTAGTGGTAAGTAGGAAAAAAAAAAAGGTGGAATAGACATCAGAATAGTATTTGTGCTTATCTACACTTAGTGGTCTCATAGTTGTTTATTTTCAAAACCATTTATATTGCTTTTATAATAAAAGCAACAAAAACAAAATGAAGACCTACAGATAGAAAAATACAAATATTTGAAGATGTTTTTAAAATGTTTCAAAAATCCACAGAAAAATTACTATCACAAATGGTATAAGGTACTGCCTCTTTTATTTATTCAGATCTCAGAAGTTCAACAGAAGCTTGGGGAGCGATTAACTTGCTAGTTACAGCACAAACATCATCAATTTCAAGAACAGCTTTATAAGAAAGTCAGTGAATAACTGACTCATGACCTCCCCAACAGCACCCAACTGTGAAACAACTCAGTAAGGAAATGTTCTCCTCCTGGCAGAGAATAACCTGGTGACAGCCTCTGTGCCACAGGAGATCCTGGGCCTTCCCTCAGGCTTTTTTTTTTTTTTTTTTTTTTTTTTCTTTTTTTGAGTGGCGGAAAGATTTCAAACTGTGACCTTCTTGGTAAAGAGCAGAGGGTATCCTGCTGGGAAAAATGCTTCAAATCTAGTCTGGATTTTGCCCCTTTCCTCAGTTCAGGAAGCAGTACTGCATATTCCTGGACAATGTATAACTATTTACAAAGGTAGATGAAAATACCAGTTGAAACATTATAGCTAAAATATTTTAAAGTATAAATCAATAAATACACTATTTCTGCTCCATTGAAATTTATGGAGCATGCTACCACCATGACTGTCTGATATACTTAAAACATACATTAAAGTAATGTATAGCATTTTCAGGAAACATGAAAGATGTGAGTGCAAACATGCATAGGCAAACGTACATCTCTATAACTGGGAGAGTACCCCAAGCAGAGTTCCACATTTTTTAAAAGTCAGATTAAATTTGTCATGGAGAAAAAAAAAAATCATTAAAAAATTATATTTAAATGAAATTATCAAACTTTATTAACTATAAAATTAAAAATAGTCACTTGGGATATTCAAAAGTAAAATACTGCAATATATCGAAAAGAAAATATGCATGTTACAAAAATTCAGATAATGTCCTTGCAATATATTTCATGGATAAATAATAAATGCTTTATATCTTGAAATTAAATCACCTCTATGTCAGGTAAAACTTCAATATGTATTGGTAAACAGTGAGACTCTTAAAATAAATATTTAGTATAAATATGGATATGCCATATTCTTAGAACTTATGGATGTTAGGAACAATGAAGAATCAAGTTTTACCAGAGAAATCTGAAATAAAGAAGCAAGTTATTCCCTTAGTATTAAGTATGTGAAGGGTCAGTATTTTGATAGAGAAATTATTCTCAGACGAAGAGAATGATAATTTCTTAATGTAACAGTGGAACATATCTTTACATTAATCACTTATGATAAAATTTGGTTCTTTGACTCCAAGGTTTCTCAACCTTAGCACAACTGACATTTGGGTGAGATGGATGGTTATCTATTGTGAGGTATTGTGCATTGCAGGATGGTAGCATCATCCTTGACCTCGACCCACTAGATGCCAGTAGCATCCTCCATCCACCCAGTCGTGACAACCAAAAATGTCTCCAGGTATTGCTAAATGTGAATACCTTGGGAGCAAAACTACCTGAGGTTGAGAACCACTATTACACAGTAATGTTTGACCGATTACATATACTATTTAAGTGTTTGTAGACTTCACAAGGAGGCTGATATTTTAGAGGACATCTGGTCCACCTGCTTATATGGCAGAGAAACTGAGTGCTAGAGAAGTCACCACCTGCTTACGAACCCTCAGCAGTCAGGGTGAACACATCATCAGTGCTCTTTCGTATTTCACACGTCCTCCCAGTAGAGAGTGCCTGCAATTTTATATGCATACTTTACACTTGTGAGTAATCCTCTGCTTTGAAATACACATTCTTGTATATGTTTTCTCATTTAATTTTGACAGTAACTTTTGCATTGATTTTATTTACCTTAGAAAATTCCAGCCCACAGTCCTCAGTAATATTACCAAAGAATCATTACTCAACGCATCTAATTCTGAGCCTGTGTTCACTCCATTACCATTACAGTGTCCTTAGTTTAATATTGGGGCTTTTAGAAATCTAGATTGAGTATCACTGGTTTCTCATAGGCATTAGAATAGAAATATAAAAATTCTGTCATTTAACCTTTGTTACATGACATTTGAATAATACAGGATTTCTCAGACTACCCAAACTCATCTCATTAAATTCAGTAACATATATAACCTACATATCTCACAAAATCTTTGTAATATGTTTTAATCACATGTATGTGTCAGAAAAAAACAAACAGAAAAAAGTCAAAAGATGAGTAGAGCATCCATATTACTTTTCCCTCTGTTGATTTAATTTTAATACACTAGAGTGGAGAGGTACAGATGTCCAGATACTTATCCAACTTGCTCCTATGATATGATAAGATAGATATTTCCATTTCTGTACAAACTTGACATGTTTTATGATCTAAACTGAACACAATGAGAGAGAGAATTTAGTCATTGTGCTTTTGTGGGGGGAAAGTCTTGTTCTTGATCAGGGAATTATTCTAAAATATACACCATCAATGAAAAATAAAAAGTAGAAGAAGAATCCTGTATTTTTTTAATTCAATTTGCTTTAAAATGTATTTATTAACACATTTGCATTAAATTGGCCTATTCATATCTCAAAGGCATTGTTACCTTGGGTGCTAGAGAGTATAAAATTTTATTTTCCTTGTTATCATGTAGTGATAAGAGCTCCACTTGGCACTAAAAGTTGAACATCTCCTCTCACAACCTAAACTTGATTTAAGTTTTACACTGTTTCCCTCAAGGTGAGCATTCTTTGATGACTATAACTTACCTCCTCTCGATATTCATCTCCTGACCGCTGGATATACCACTTAATAGATGCTTGTTGGGATTTAGGTATACATTCCAGAAAGGTTGAATTAAATTCAATGCCAAAAATCACCTTTTCATCAGCAGCTTCATGACTAATGCCTGGAAAGCAAACATGGAATAGGAGATTAACCTTGACACGATTTTAAAAGCAATGGGAAAATAGACTGATTTAGAACAGATGCCATGGAGGAAAGATTCATACACATTATTAAAGAGAAAGGAAATTCATGTTATAATGTTGTAACCTGAGAGTAGAATACTATCTAATAGATTGATTTTTAAAACTCTATCCCCTCACTGCAATTTTTACTCTTTCATCAATATATTAACTTTTTGCAATTTCTTTTTTTAAATAAGAATTCACAAGATCTAACTTTAAACACTGAGCCTCTCTGAGCTGAACTGAATAAACTTCAACATCTTTTAACGCTTTAATGCCTTTTAATTTATATAAAATATAACTAATTCTGCAGATATTTCTGAAGAGCAATTTATCTCACCTCTAAAGAGAAATTCTATTATGATTTGGTCCACAGAGCTGACCGTATAACATATAACCATATGTTATGACCATATGACATTTTGATCTCAGAAAAGTCAGTGCAGTGCTCTATACTTAATGAAACTCTATGATGATGCTAATAAGTTAGATGCTCTAATACTCAGAATCAGGACCTTCTCTGTATTATCTACCAAAAAATGTTCTCTTTTATTCAAAGAGGGATACTATAGCCCAACGTGCATTTGCTATAAGATAGTTAATGGGAGGCTAAAGGATCAGTGTCTCAGACACCTTATTCTCATAAATCAACTGCACCATCTGAAATACATTCCTTCCAGAGTAGCCAAAGGCTGTGTCCCATGTGTGATCTAAGATCTGCAGCTCAGATTTGATCAAATAAAAAATGACAGCTTCTCAGCCTGGCCCAAACATGCACTGTTTCATCGTATATTCACATGTCTCAATTCTGCAGATGGGCCTACTTAGCATTTTAGGCATAAACCAGAGGAAGGCTTAAGGGGCCTAAGTGAATCCTAAACCTAAGCATGCAGAATTATCAGCAAATGGCATGAATGCACATGCATCCAACAGTTAGGCTTCTTTTCAAGAAACTTCTTTTGAACTTATTTGTGTCTTACCAGCAGTGATTAAGTCAAACATGCTGACCCCATTATGAATTAACCTTACCTAACCTTCAAAATGTGCGGATTCCACTTGAAATCTGTAATCTATCCACTCTCTTCTGGCAATTTAACAGATTATAGCCACGATTTTCACAGCTAATAACTTCCTAATGCACAGGAAGATCACCAGTGCCGATCACGGAAGAGAAAGACACGCATCACTTCATAGTAACAGATACCATTTTCCTGAGCAAAGGGAGTTCATGAACAAAGCAGGGAGGATGCAGGCTGATTGTTTAGGTGATGGGGCAAGGAGAAACGCAATTAGACGGATTCAACCAAAGAATTGGTCAATTCAGTGAAAGGTAAATTAGTGAAATCAACTGGAAAAGTGAAATAGTGAGCTGATTATAAGAAATCCATTTTCAAATCAGTAGAAACAGTGACCCTTTGAAACAAAGTTCATCCCTGCATCAGTTTGACTGGAAATTAATTTATTGTTTCTTCCGATAATGTTTGTTTTATCTCTGAGTTTAAAATTTTCTATTTTTAAACCTATATGTATGTATGTATACATATACACATACACATATATACATACATACTATATATAATGTCTGTTACTATCCATTTTTAAAAGTGCAAAAGTTGTATACAATAATGTTTTTAAATAGCAGAATATCTTCTCATTAAGTATAAAATAATTTTAAAGATAATAATCTTCCAGATTGCAGGCAAAAATTTTTTTTCATAGAGAAATATCTGGAATATTTCTTTAGAATACACATGTGACATTTCACTGAAGTCACTGCAGCAAGATTATATGTGTTTAACATGGTTAAACACAGTTCATCCACATGAATTACTGATTTTATATCATTAATAATCATGCAGTATCACAGTATATAACAATTAATGAACAAAGGAAGGAAGGAAGAAACAAAACAGCTATTTGCCAGTTATTCAAGACTTGACCGACTCAGTGCAACACATATTTATGGTGGGTTATAAGCAAGTCATCTCCTTTCTTCTTTACCAGAAACAAGTGTTCAAATGTGACCCTTTCTCTCCCCTAAGATCGAAAACGCTTAGTTTGTAAATGCCCTCATAATCTCTACTTTAATTCTCACAATTGATTCTCTGTCTCTGGCTTCTATTCCTATCAGTCACCAAACAGGTATAAATTACTTTTATTTTTAAAAACAACTTTTCTTAGTAACATGAAATAGCTCCTTAGCACCTATAGAGTGAACTCCAGACAATAACAGAGGGATCATCACAAACTTAACAAAACCTATGTGAATTCTTTCTGATTTTAATAATTGTTACTTCATCTACTTAGTAAAATTTGATTGTTTCCTTAAGGCACAGCTCAAGTGCTCTCCATCTGGGTATCCTTCCTTTTACCTATGCATTATGCAAAGATTCTTTCATGCCTACCATACTGGCATTGCTTTCAGTGCAGGAAATATACTGATGACTATGACAGGCAAATTCACCACCTTTATATTCCAGTGACAGAGACAAAATAATCAAGTGAATGAATAAATAAAGAATATAGTATCTGGCTGTGTTACGCATTACAAGTAAAAATAAAGCAGATTAGGGAATAATTAGGGTTAGAAGGAGAGAAGGGTATTTCAGGTAGGTTAGTCAGGAAGGGTGTCTCTGAGAAATTAACATTTCAATCCCAGGATTAAATGATGTGAAGATGGAGCCACGTGCACACCTGAAGTGAAGAGTTCTTCAGGTATAGAGGAAACAAATGCAAACAGGGCTGAGGCAGGAACCAGACTGGTGCTTTTGAAAAAGAGAAAGCCTGTGAGCAAGCTGTGCCACAGTGATGCGAGGGTCAGACAAGGTGTTAGGAAGCAGATCAGGTAGAATCTCGCAGTCCATGGTAAAGGCTGTGGAGTGTTTCCTAATTGCTCTAAGATGCTAGTGAAAGATTCTGAGTAAGGGAGTGACAAGATCTGATTGATTAAAGTGTGGTTTTTTTTTGGCTGCGTTGGGTCTTCATTGCTGCGCGCAGGCTTTCTCTAGTTGTGGGGAGCAGGGGCTACTCTTAGCTGTGGTGCGAGGACTTCTCATTGCGGTGGCTTCTCTTGTTGCAGAGCACTGGCTCTAGGCACGCGGGCTTCAGTAGTTGTGGCACGCAGGCTCAAGAGCGCAGGCTCAGTAGTTGTGGTGCACGGGCTCAGTTGCTCCGTGGCATGTGGAATCTTCCTGGACCAGGGATCAAACCTGTGTCCCCTGCATTGGCAGGCAGGTTCTTAAGCACTGCGCCACCAGGGAAGCCCCGTGACTGAAGTTTAGAAAGAGGTTACTCTGGCTACTGAGTGGGATCTAGACTGAAGGGAGGCAAGCATGGAAGCAGGGAGACCAGTTTAGCAGCTACTGAAGAGTTCTGGTGGGTCTGGTTAGGATGGCATGTGGAGGTGATGAGAAGTGGCAGTTGTGACCACTGAGCCAAAGGTCTGTACTGAGATGCTGGTGATAAGATGTAAAAGAAAGAGAAGCATGAAAAGATGACTCCTAGCTGCTTTTTGACAAAGCAGTTGGGTGAGTGGTGGTGCTATTTATTAATATGGGGAAGTCTGCAGAACAAGTAAGTTTTAGAGAAAATGACAAGAATTCTTTCCCAGGTATAATTTGAGATTCTTATTAGGCATATGAGAGGGGTTCTTGAGCAGGCACAGAGCATACAAGTCTTGCACACAGGCGAGAGTTCAGAACTGGACAATCAACCTGGGAGTCAAATTGCCTCTGATAGAGAATACTATGAACAATTATATGCCAACAAACTGGACAACCCAGAAGAAATGGGCATGTTTCTAGAAACATACAGCCTACCAAAACTGAATCAAAAGGAAACAGGCAATTTGAACAGACTGATCACTACAAGTGAAATAGAATCTGAAATAATATAACTCCCTGCAAACAGAAGTCCAGAACCAGAAGGCTTCACCGGGGAATTCTACCAAACAATAAGAGAAGAAACTATACCAATCCTTCTCAAACTCTTCCAAAAGATTGAGGAGGAGGGAACACTCCCACAAGTCATTCTATGAAGCCACCATTACCCTGACACCAAAACGAGACAACGACACTACCAAAAAAGAAAATTACAGGCCAGTATCTTTGATGAATATAGATGCAAAAATTCCCAACAAAATATTAGCAAAGCAAATCCAACAACACGTAAAAAAGATCATACACCATTACCAAATTGGATTCATCCCAGGGTCACAAGGATGGTTCAACATATGCAAATCAATGTGATACACCAAATCAACAAAAGAAAGACAAAAACCACATGATCAACAAAGCCACATCTCAAAAGATGCAGAAAAAGCATTTGATAAAATTCAACATCTATTCATGATAAAAACTCTTATCAAGGTGAGTTTAGAGGGAACATACCTCAACATAACAAAAGCTATTTATGACAAACCAACAGCCAACATAATACTCAACAGTGAAAAGCTGAAAGCCTTCCTGCTGAAATCCAGACCAGACAAGGATGTCCACTCTCACCACTCCTGTTCAACATAGCACTGGAAGTCCTAGCCACAGCAAGCAGACAAGAAAAAGAAAGAAAAGTTATCCAAGTTGGAAGAGAAGAGGTAAAATTGTCATTGTATGCAGATGACATGATACTACATATAGAAAACCCTAAAGACTTCACACAAAAACTACGAGAATTGATAAACAAATTCAACCAGGTAGCAGTATACAAGATCAACATACAGAAATTGGTTGCATCAGAAAGAGAAAGTGAAGAAAAAATAAAATCCCTTTTAAAATCTCATCAAAAAAAAATAAAATACTTAGGAATAAACCTGACCGAGGAGGTGAAAGACATATACACTGAGAACTATAAAACACTTATAAAGGAAACCGAAGACGATTTAAAGAAATGGAAAAACACTCCATGCTCTTGGATTGGAAGAATTAATATTGTTAAAATGGCCATATTACACAAAGCAATCTACAGATTTAATGAGATCCCTTTTAAATTACCCCTGACATTTTTCACAGAACTAGAACCAATAATCCTAATATTTATATGGAACCTTAAAAGACCCAGAATTGCCAAAGCAATCCTGAGGAAAAAGAACAAAGCAGGAGGCATAACCCTCCCCACCTTCAGACAATACTGCAAAGCTACAGTAATCAAAACAGCATAGTATTGTCATAAAAGCAGACATATGGATCAATGGAACAGAATAGAGAGCCTAGAAATAAACCCACACACGTATGGTCAATTAATCTTTTACAAAGGAGGCAAGAATATACACTGGAGAAAAGACAGTCTCTTCAGCAAGTGTTGTTGGGAATGTTGGACAGCCACTTGTAAAGCAAGTGAAGTTAGAACACACCCTCACACTATACACAAAAATAAGCTCAAAATGGCTTAAAGACTTAAGTATAAGACATGAAACCATAACACTCCTAGAAGAGAATGTAGGCAAAATATTTCTCTGATATAAATTGTACCAATGTTTTCTTAGGTCAGTCTACCAAGCCAATAGAAATAAAAGCAAAAATAAACAAATGGGACCTAATCAAACTTACAAACTTATAAACAAAACAAAAAAACAACCTACGGACTGGGAGAAGATATTTGTAAATGATGCGACCAACAAGGGCTTAATTTCCAAAATATACAAACAGCCCATACAACTCAATAACAAAAACAAACAAACCAAAAAAAAACCCAATCAAAAAATGTGCAGAAGATCTAAACAGACATTTCTCCAAAGAAGACGTACAGATGGCCAATAGGCACATGAAAAGATGCTCAACATTGCTAATTGTAGAGAAATTCAAATTGAAACTACAATGAGGTACCACCTAACAGCCGTCATGATGGCTATTATTAAAAAGTCTACAGGGCTTCCCTGGTGGCAGTGGTTGAGAGTCCGCCTGCTGATGCAGGGAACACGGGTTCGTGTCCCCATCCGGGAAGATCCCACATGCTGCGGAGCGGCTGGGCCCGTGAGCCATGGCCGCTGAGCCTGTGCGTCCGGAGCCTGTTGTTCCGCAACGGGAGAGGCCACAACAGTGAAAGGCCCGAGTACCGCAAAAAAAAAAAAAAAAAAAATCTACAAATAACAAATGCGGGAGAGGCTGTAGAAAAAGGGCACCCTCCTGCACTGTTGGTGGGAATGTAAATTGGTACAGCCTCTATGGAGAACAGAATGGAGGTTCCTCAAAAAACTAAAAATAGAGTTGGCACATGATCCTATGGTCCCACTCCTGGGCATATATCTGGACAAAACTATAATTTGAAAAGGTACACGCACCCCAATGTTCACAGCAGCACTATTTACAATAGCCAAGACATGGAAGCAACCTAAATGTCCATCGACAGATGAATGGATAAAGAAGATGTGGTGTATATATATAATGGAATAGTACTCAGCCATAAAAAGGTATGAAATAATGCCATTTGCAGCAACATGGATGGACCTAGAGATTATCATACTAAGCAAAGTAACTCAGAAAGAGAAAGACAGATACCGTATGATATCACTTATATGTAGAATTTAAAATACGACAGAAATGAACTTATCTATGAAACAGAAACAGACACAGAGAACAGACTTGGGGTTGCTAAGGGGGAGGGGGAGGGGGACGGCAAAGGGATGGATTGAGAGTTTGGGATTAGCAGATGCAAATGATGATATATAGAATGGATAAACAGCAAGGTCCTATTGTATAGCACAGGGAACTATATTCAATATCCTGTAATAAACCATAATGGAAAAGAATATGAAAAAGAATAAATATGTATGTATAACTGAATCACTTTGCTGTACACCAGAAAGTAACACAACATTGTAAATCAACATTGTACTTCAATTAAAAAAAAAAAAACTAAAAAAAAATTGCCTCTGATAGTATTGAAATGGATGGCGTTAAGGAGTGAATATACAGAGACTAGATGTTTAGATGGCAGGATGAAAAGGAAAGTTAAGAACACTCAGAATGAGAAACCTGTAAGGTAAGAGAAAAACCAGAAGTTTTCCCTGTGGTGCCATGAAGCAGAGGGGTGCTGGGGAGACCATCTCTGAAAACAAAAGGCCCTTATTTGTATTGCTTGCCGATTTTCCTGGTGTAAACACTCCTACCACGGCTGATTCAAGCTCCCAGTGGTTTAAAACTCAGCTCACAAAATTCCTCCGTAATACACAGTCAGCTCTCATGGGGCCATAAGAGCTGGCTCCAGCACATCACTGCATGGAGCCTAGTGAAGAAAGTGTTCCACGGAGGAGGGAGCTAGAGAGTAAGTAAAAATGGGAACGGAAAAGTGGCCATTGGATTTGGCAAGGAGGAAACTGCTGGTGATCTTGACAAAAAATATATTGGGTTAGAGTGGTGATGATGAAAAGGAGATGTGCAATGGGCTATAACAAGAATGGGCTGTGATGAGGTGGACACAATAATTGTGAGTGCCTTAGTAAGCAGTGGTGTTTTGTAAGTCCTTATAACATTTATCATTATATGACATGGCATATATTTTACTTGTTTTTATGTTTGTTGCCTGCTCCCTCCCCTAACACACATTTAAATGTAAGATCCATGAATGCACAGATTGTTTTCTTTTATGTTCATTCGCATATCCTCAGTACCTAAAATAGTCCCTCCTAATCTCATGTGCACGTGTGAAAAACTGCATAGCACACAGTAGTGACTGCTAAAGAAAACACCGTACATTACAGTGAGCCACCTACACATTAGAACAGGAAGACAAACGTACTATTCTGGACTAGAGCTTAGTTTTCAGAAGAATGATATTATAAATTAGAAATAATTGTTTTGTTTTTAAAAAAGAAAACTCTGCCAGACCAGCAGTTATAGACTATGAAATCTGGGTTGTTTATTCAGTGGTAGGTGGTTACTAACAATATGATGATGGAAAGGCAGTTCATTTCTTCTTCCAGTTGTGTTTGTGTGTGTGTGTGTGTGCGCGCACGCACGTGTGCATATATTTTCTATCTGAAGGCAGAGCTTGGGAGTGGAAAGTAACTAAAGCTCTGGAATATATACTTCTACAGATTTTTTTCTCTGTTATCAGAGTCACTCAGCAAACTTCCTCTCAATTCTCCACTCTGCCCTTCTCACACTCAGACTTTCAAGATCTTCCATTCTATGACATTTTCTCTGAACAGTACAGCCTCTGGTGACCTCTTTTTTTGCTAAACTCCCACATCACTAATTGTGCCTTATGACATTTCCCCAAAGAATTGTAAGTTCTCTAAGGAGCTTTTTCTCTCAAAGTAGATCCGGGACGATTACATGCACATGGAAGTCACTTAATAAATATTTACTGATTGAATGGATACACAAATTAATAAGTGAATACAAATAATGCACAGGCTACCTAAAATTTCTTTCTAGTAAGTCCAACACTTTTATCAAACTTTTCTAGGAGGGTCTCTTTGAGTTTACTCTAAATGTCCATATGTTTTGGACTATATTCTGCTTTATCTCTAATAGCAGTTTCAAACTTTACAAGGATGGATAAGGCATTAAAAAAAAAAAAGGTATAGGAATTTTAAAAGCCTTATGAAGCAAATATAACAAAGAATTACCACTTAGGCACGTGAACAGGGGGTTGATTTATAAAACCTCCTATTGCTTTTCCAGAATGCAAGCATTACACAAAATGAGTAGGTGTTTTAACTCGTATAATAAAAAAGACACACAAAGACCAGGCTTAAAATTTTCAGTGGGAGGAAAGCATATTAAACCTATACTTACTGTCTTCTATGTCCCAGCACTGGGTGATTGGGTCCCCATACTTCACATCTTGGCGTCTAGCTCGCCTATGCAAAAGGGATTAAATAGAACTTCAAGCATGATATCTGAGATATACAAAGTCTACATCTAACACTCATAACAGTAGCAGAAGCAGAATTATGCTTTACTGCTCAACTTAAATGCAGGTCAATATTCCAATCACTCTAACATTAATTCAAATAATACTAGTGGTAGAGTCCTAACAGAATAAATCCTGTTTCGGTAATAAGGTGATCTGAATTTTATTTCAGAATAAATCCTGTTTTGGTAATAAGATGATCTGAATTTCATTTAACTACCCCAGTTTTCTTTTTCTCTGGCTTTTGACAAATTATTCAACAGAACAGGCTGAATATAAATACAATCCAGTTATTATATACTTCCTATGGGGGTAACTAGTTGTATCTTCTTTTTTTCAGTCAGCCAACGGAAAAGTAATAAGATATAAAAGAGCTTTAGTTAGTGGGTAAGAAAGTACACACAAATACAAAATGCCTTATCATATGAAGATTCATTATTATACTGACGTGATTAAACAACGAGATAAATATCATTTGAAACAGAAAGTACAAGTTTGATATGGCCTAATGGCTAGATGTTATTTCTATCTACTGACACATAGTTCACATTGTTTCTCTGAGAGTAGTGATAATGATACTAATAAAATAATGGCCTTGTACATTATTGTCACATATTTTCCTTAAGAGAAAATAGTAACTACTGCATAAAGAAAGTAAAGATCTGCCACATCTAAGTTAAATAAGTCTTACACTCGGAGTACAGTTTCATTTGCTTTGGTTATTTTATGTTGCCACATCAGAGATCCTAGATGTCACAGTAAACATTCTGTGATATGTAGGGTGTTCCTTAAGGGGCATGCTGACCAGATGACAGCCCTGTGGGAGATTCATTTATCATACACATTTTTTGGCTCACATGGACATTGTTAGGTAAGGGAGAACATCATAGTGGCTTGTCTGCAAGATCAGAGATACAGTCTTGAGAAATACAAGAAGAAAAAATTGTGATGGTATAAGGTACCTAAGGTCAAGAATGTTTTTAAATCTTGGCTTCTTAAGGAACAGCATCAATTCATCAAACTGAAGGTTCATTACCAACTAAATGAGCATTCTTGTTTTTTAGGTTCTTGAAAAGAAAAGCACTCCCCAAAGACTAACTAGGGTGAGTATATTCTTTGTCAAAAACTATAACAAAAACCTTGTGACTTTTTACTTTAAACTTGAAATAATGGTATCTCCCCACTTACATTTAATTCAGAGATTTCAGGGAATATAAAAAGGTCTTGGAATAGTATCTGTTTTTGTACTATACATTCAATCTGTGACCACTAGAATTTGCAATTTGACAAATCAGTAAACATTCCAAAAAATAAAAGTGCATATGTACTAGCGGGACTAACATATGCTCACCTGTTACCTTATTTTGTTAAGACCTAAAGATGAAAAAAAAATACCACATACAGTTTGCTGACATTTTACGTAGAATAAAATATACTTTGGGCAATACTTTAGAAAACAGTGTTACTATAAACCACACTTTAAAATAATGATATTTTAATATACTCAGCCACCATCAGTCATATTAATGAGGATTCAGGGTGTTTCCAATAATTTTGCTATTGAAAACTGTGCTGAAATGACAATCAAACATATAATTTGTGGTACTTTTTTGCCCGTGTGTGTAACATAAATTCCTAGCTGGGTACTGTTGGCCCAGAATAGCATTATTTTTAAGAGCACATAAAGCAAGAAACTACAAACAGCAGGATGTAGTCGGATATTTAAGCATATCTGGGTGGCAGAAATTGGTCAAGTTGGAGTAAAAGCAAAATTATACAGAATCACAGGGATGTGCTGTGGGCTGTATATAATCTACACTGTTACAAAAACATTTATACATTATTTGTAAAACAGTAACTACGAGTATATACATATTTATAAATAAGGGAAGAATATACAAAGGGTAGAGTAGTAAAGAAAGCAAACTTTTCATGCTTTTAGACAAAGATGAAGAAAAAGGATATAAACAATTTATCAGAATTTTTTAAAGCTCTGAAACCCGAGGGTTATCGTCAGTTAAATCCATGAAACCTGTAATCTGCCTTCATTAGTCAAGCTTGCTTTAATTGTTGCTATAAAAACGTGCGTGTCCTCCAAGCCTCAGGTAACCTAAACAGGATGTTTGCCCAAGTTGTTTAGGAACTTGGAGTCAGCTGTGTTCAGTTTGAGCTCTAGCCGGTTAAGACTGGTTAGGACCACTCACCCGCCCCCTGGGCATGTGGGAGTGTCCAGTGACCTTTTGACATCAGAGGCCAAAAAATCCACGCTCAGAGCAGGCATCCCAGGAAGAAGCTTGTAGCTTAGTTTCATCTGCGTAGAAAGATGATTACCTCACCTTTTTCTTATCTCCAATTAACCTTCCCCAGGCTCCCCACACCTCAGCTTTCTCCCATAAGTATCCTCAGTCCTTCGCCTTTGGGGAGGCGAATGAGACTTGTTTTTCCCATCTCCCCGCTTGACTGCTTCGTGAATAAACCCGTTCCCTGCTGCACATCTTGGCATCTCCACGTTTGGCTTGCTGTGCATCGAACAAAACTGGTTTGGTAAGACTTCCACATTTCCGGATTTCAGAACATTCTGTTTTATCCTCCTTCAAAATTTAGCTGTATGAAAAACTCTAAAACATTTAGATTGTAATACTCCTACCACAGACCATGTTCTCTATATGTTTTCTCTTTAAACTACAAGAGAAGGTATTCGTGTACGATATTCATTGTGTGAAAAGCAAGGCTTCATCTTAATTTGATGTGCCTCTCACCTTTTTGAAGTGGGTGCATAGCGAGAGCATGCATTTCCATCCCAGGCACAGTAGGGGTCTCTGGCAAGACAACAGTCTGCACAAGCTTTCCCATAAGTGTCACATCTGTGCAAGGAGAGCTGAGCCAGTCCATCTCGGGAACCAATGTACAACTGTTGCTGCAAATCAGGCAAAACAAATGCATTAGAAGCATCTTTCAGACGAGTCTTAAGAACTTCCCTTTCTTGAATACCACATCACAGACCTAAATCTGTCTCCTCGGGTGCCCTGCCCGTTATAAACACTTGCACAGAAACATAAGGGAGAGTAAGATAAGTCGGTCTTCTGTCCCTGGTTGGATGGTGGTTTGAAGATGATGACACAGAATTGGACGGCATTCTAGAGAGCTAGAGTAACCTTGGCAGTAATTTAAGAAGGTCAAAAACCAGCTGCTAGACTGAGGAATTAAGATGTCAGATTCTTTCTTAGTAGTTGAAAATACACTCTGGTAGATTATATCAAGCACAGATGCTATAGGCAACACTGATGGGTCTTCTCCTGCCATGGCTTCTTATATAAGAGTTGACTGAAAAGAGGTTTATGAAAAACTTTCCTGTGATCTTAACTAACCATTTCATTTGTTAATGAAGTACGGATCCCTGAAGGAAGTTGAGTGATAAGTGAGAGAGAAAGTATTTGCTATCACTGTGGAGAAAGTATTAAGGAGGTTTGTGGGATGCTGTATCACACGTGAAAGCCTGCAGGATACTGACAAACTCAGCAAATAGAATCACATTTTGAAAATAAGTCCTGAAAATAATGCACTGCTCCCTACATGTATTCACTTGAGGGTATGTGGTGGAGGCAGAGGGAGGGATGATAACAAGTGAATAAGCCATAGTCTGTGCCTTCAAGTAACTTACGGTCAAGTCTAGTGGACATGCCAAACTTTAAATGGAGGGGGAAAAAAGTCTGAGAAATAGATATTGGCACAAATAACATACACGAACTCCACCTATAGAAATCTGTCTTACACCCCTACCACCCACTTAAGACCTCCTGGAGGCTAAATGTGGACTTTGTTTAGTATTTTACTATATAATTCTCTAGCGTTTGATACCAGTAAGACTAAAGCCTCCTTGAAAGTCTCTTCCCTTTCTTCTGTTCTCCCTCCTTATTTCTGCCTAGAGTTCTGTTTCCTTTGATGATTCCTTCCTTAGCCTTGAACATTGGGTTTCCCTCTTTGCGATTCTCATCTTTACTCTTCTTCCTGTACAAAGGCTCAGAGTTATTTTGAAAACAACATAAACACGCACACACTGATTCCCCTAAATCTAGTCTTCCTACCCTACCCTGACCAAGAGACACCATCCCAGTCACCCCCAGCACGAATCTGGGAGTTGTCTTTGAATCTTCTTTCACACTCACTCCGTCTGCCACCTTATCTCTCCGTTCTCTTACATGGCGCTCTCAAATCCATTTCCGCCTCACTCTGCACTGCCCCTTGCCTTTTCTCAGTCCTTATCATCTCCTTCCTCGATGACCTGTAAGTGTCCTTACCGTTTCAGCTGGCTTCACCCTTGTTTTCCGGCAACCCTCACCTCCACCCCAGGACTCAATCCCTCTTCCACACTGCCACGCCAGGCTGCTCTCTCTAAGAGGAAAATCTTAGCATGACACCCGCCTGCTTAACGTCTTTAAAGGTCTTCATTGTCTTGGATAAACTTGTTAAACTTCTCAGGAGGGCATCCATGGAAGGATGTGTCTACTCTTCTTCTGTCTTACTTCCCCAGGTTCCTTTCTAGCCTCCTTGCCCCTTGAGTGCAGCTATGCTCTCTGCTCCAATTGTACACAAGCTTATTAGAATAAGTTCGAGTCTTTCACTCTTCATGCCTTTTCTAAGGGCCCTCTCTTCTACTCGGCATATGCTTCCCCGTCCCATCCTTCTTTTTATTTATCTGGTTACCTGCAGCATCCTTCATAGCTCGAGTTGCCGGTCTCTCCCGCTCCCCTGGCTCCCTTTTACACCAGTTCGTCTCCTCTCTGTTTCCCCAGAACGTGGTTCCATTCTTGGTCTACTTTGTTAGCATGCTCCTTTGCCTTCCAGCTCCATGTGACTATTGGGCTGTTTGCCATTGCAGTCCATAGTCTAACTCGTAGACTCGCTGATTAAAAACCATCTTTAATGTTTAGGGCTAGTATTCTACATGAATTACTTTACAGCCTTGACAGAATGACATTCTCATGAGACTAGGAAAGTGAGCTCAATTTTCAAGAGCCAAAGGAAGGGGAGAATGTATTATTCAATTAATGGAATTGGGTCCCCTGTCTCCTAAGGCAAGGCAGAAAGACTGCCCTATAATCAGTTATAAAAGAAACATAATCTAAAGCTTTTTACACTATTTATAATTTAACTTCTAGTTTCAATGAATTTTCCTTAAAATAAAGTTTGATGCAAACAATCTTTCTTTTGTGGCTAATTTTTACACAAAAATTAGAAAGTACCTGCTTCAGAGACAACTCCATGTTCAAGATGATTGATGAATGCTGAAAATAAAATTTAACTATTAATAAAGATAATCATGAACAATCTTTTAGAGTAGCCAATATTTTGTTTTATCGTGTACCAAGGATAATTGGAGTAAACTTCAAGGCTCTGTTATATAGAGGAGAAAAAGATCTTAATGTTTGCTATTTCCTTCCCATGTGTAGTGATTCAACCTTAATACAAATTATCAAAATAGTTATTTTTAAATCTTATTAAAGAAAAATTACCTAAATGTATGAGGAGACACTCTGCACTGAAAATTGTTCCCGGTTACCCACAAGGTTTCTCCCTCTTCTGACTCTGCTTATCTTAACTGCTTCCATATAATTCAAACTAGTGTTGACAAGAACATCTCCATAATTATTTATTGCCTCTTTCTGCTTACTTAGATCAGTAGTTCAAAAACTTGTTCAAGTAGTAAAATTCTAAAAAGTTATAGTGCTTCTTGTGGATGAGCATATTCTTTATAAAACACTGCAAGATACGATGCACATGGTTTCACAACATGAAAGTTTTATGTGTAGAAAACAAGCCTCTATGCGTGCAATACAAAATTTAAAACATGAACACAAAAGCTGCCAAACTAAAAAGGATGGAATGTTTAAGCATTTTTTTGTCTATCGTCTGTGTCTCTCTCTATATATATGACTATTCATTTCTCACTGGCCAATATGTACTAAGCAATAAACACAAGCAGATATTAAAACTTTAAGAAAATATATGAAAAAAATGAAAAGAAATGTTAAATGAGAAAGTTCTATCCAATAACTTTTTTTATGGATTAAGCAAACAGGGTCATTATTTAATCTTAACAGTGGAATCCAAACAATTCCTCTTGGTCAGTAATAACCGCTGAGTAGACTTAGTCTAATGTGCCTCTGTGTATTATGGAGGCTTTATTTTTGCCCTCTGGGTTTGCACTTATACTTGACATTGGCTTTTCCCTCAGGAACTACCCACGACTTTGTTTCTGGTAGATTCCAGAGAGCAGGTCTTGTTCTTGTTAACTCCTGGACCACTATTATCATCACAATGTAAACAGGATCCTGCGGAACCCAGCCTGTTAATTAACTTGAGCCCCTCACAGCAGAGAGCTCTACTCTCTTTTAAGGCAATAGAAGTTTACATGGAAACAGTCTATTTTAATAAACTATCTCAACAAAAAATGGTATAAAAGACAGCATATTTTTTAAAAGCTCTTCTAAGAAATGCAATTTTATTTCTAATTTCATTTTAGAAAATAACTCTAAATTGAATTTCATTGAAGGTCTACAAAGAATGCCACAGTTCAAATTTACTACTGTTAAAAGTCTAAGGACATTCCCCAAATCTGGAGAACTATTATTTTAGATCTACTAACTCTTTTGGTGGTTGAGGGGAATTTAGCATACATAAAGACTTACTATCAAGCAACTTAAAAAAAAAAAAATTCCTTACAGAAATGCAGGGACACGTGATTTATACACTCTTCCAGTTTCCTTAAATTCAATTGAGGAAAAATTGAAAAGTGAAATTTATAAAGTAGAAAAGCATCTGGATAGTAAAAGAGACCCTAGGCTTTCATCTACCATGGTGATTTGTCTGAACATATGCTTAGAGAACTCAGTCATGAGGGGCAACCCAGGAGCCCCAAGTTCAGTGATATTTCTGCAGGGGAAAATGAGTCCCATTCTTAGTTGCTTTTAAAACTTTTTCCTTCGCTTAAGGAAAAGAAAAATAAAGAAGCTAATTGAAAAGACTTCTTCAGAAAGAGTGGTGACGTACTGACAGAACGTGTCCTATATAAGAACTGCTCAAGTTCGCCATCGCTTCTCCCGGAACTCTGGCCTAAGTCTTACCTTGAATATGTGTAACTCCTCCAGTACTACCTCTTCCATTTTCCACTTCTCCTTTGAAATGCTGACAACTTTTAGGACTGTTCCAACGTCTGAAAAAATACATTACACATGATCCTGTTGTTTCTACTTCAATGTTTAGTTAAGCATTTTCCTAGCAACCTTCACATGGCTCCCCTCATTTTTTTTTTCAATGCCTTTCAAGCAATCAGGTTAAACAAAGCATGCGAGAAGTGAAGCTTAATGTATATGATTCTCCCCTTTTGAAATACTATAGCTTTCAGCTCATAAACACATTTATAAAGAAAATATTAAAAGACACACATTCAGAGTGTATTCCTAACACAAGGAATAGAGATGTCTCCTTTAAAAATTAGTTGAAAGGGTAACAAAAGAGGAACAACATTTTTGGAACTTAATTTAAAAGGTTAAAATATATTAAATTTTCTCTCTCAATGTAAGAAATATTTATTCAGTACTTATCCACTTCACCATGAAAGATAAATATATATATTTTTAATAATCTTAACAAATGTAAGAGAAATCATTGAAGCTATCTACATGGGGGAAGTAGTAGCTCACTCATAAAATGTATTTTACTTACAGAAATATAATTAATGGGCTAGAAAATAAAATTCTGTCAAATTATTTTAGTTCAATTTAAAAGAACTAAACTATTATCACAAGATTAATCATATATTGTAGTCCACAAGGTGGCATGTTATTACAGAAAGACGATCAAAAGAACATTTTAGAAAAAAATCCCATTTGCAAATTAATGTACAGACTGACTTACACATAAAAATAAATTTAAAATAGTTGCTTTTAAACTTCTGAGCACAGAGGTTGAAGTAGGTTAACATGTATGGGAATATCCTATTTGTACAAAATAGTCTGGATTATTTGTTTTTAAATGGCTCTAGGATCTTCGAAAAATATTAAATATATATTTTCTGAATGTCATAATTGAAAATCAATCTATCTTAGTATCCTCATAATTTTCTAAGTAAAAGTTAGGTAGTACCACCTAGTGGCTAAATGGCTCTTCTGGCCCTGAAATGTTGAAGAACTAGAAATGAGCTTTGGGTGGGCAGTGCAATTAAGGGGCAAGCTCATAGAATGAATGACTAATTATTTCATGTTTTGACGCTTCAGTAGTAATCTCTGTAGTCTTGAAAGTATTACTTTTTTCCCTGGGCCTTGGTACTGCCATCTGCAACATAATCAGGTTTGACAACTGGTGTTCTTAAAGTCCTCTGAGTCTGTCACACAGACGCTTCCTAATAAACCTAACTTTTGTAAAACCAATATATTTTAAAAAATAAAATTATTCTAAAATTGTTTTATAGTCCTAAAAACATTTCAATAAAAATGTCCATTTCTTAAAAACTCATCAAATTTCTATTTCTTTATGCAATGCGTGATCCATCAAATTACATAACATCATCTAGGATGTAGTGCTTTTGTTTTAATGATACATGTTATCTTTACTACCAATACAATTCACAGGACATTATTAGATATTACTTTTTGTTTTTTGAGATGCACCAAATAAGCAATATTTCTTTCCCTTGGAAAAAAGAGGTAATCATTTTATAATTACTGAGTTGGCAGTCAAAAAAAATAAATAAAATGGGCTCTAATAATGAAAGTGATACTTAATCCAAAAAATTCAAGGACAGGAAAAATAATCACCAAGCAGTTTCTACCTTAAGTTCTTTACAAATTAATGATTAACTTTTTTGAAACCACCATAAGCCACCTAAGTCAGTGATTCTCAAAATTGGGTGAAGGGATCCTTTGGGGTACGATTATCAAATATCTCTGTAGAGAGAGGGAAATGTGAAGTTTGAAAATAGAGAAGCTTTGCTTTACCTATTTGTTTTAGTCCATAGTCATTCAACAAATATGTATTGAGCACCTCATCTGTAGCAGGCACATTGCAGTAGTAATATAGTAGTATATTTTGAAATCTCACATAACACTAATGGAGGCTGGGAGATATGTATGATCGTCGATTAAAAGCACATGTTATGCAAGTTTAAAAAAAACACTGACTGGGTATTAGCTAATAGTTACTCATTTTGATTTTGGCCGGTAAACTTTTTTGAAGTTTTTGTTTGTTTAATAATGAAAAATTCATTTGAAAGAAGGCATAACTTGGCTCTAGCATACCTGTTCCAAGAAACATCACATCGTACTGGCCATCTTCTGCGACAACGTGATCCACCACAATCTGTGTCAGTCTGTAATCCACATTGATGCGCTTGAATGTTGGTCCTCCCACAACTGGATATACTGATTTATACATCACAGGGTGCCGCTTTATGAAACTGATGACATCGTCTGGAAAATCTCGGGTGGATTTAATCAGTGGGTCATAGGTTTTGCTCGGACACTGAAAAGGAATGAGGAGAGGGGAGTAAAGGCATTGTTCACACATCTGAGAAATTTTCACTTCTAATAAAGTTTTTAAGCCTTACCATTGATAATATTAAAGGAATGGTCACCAGGATCAATATGAAATCACATGTATTGACAGATGTAATTAAATGCGGCTTACCTGCAGTGTATATAAATCCAGTTTTTGCTTTCGAAAATATTCTTAATTATTACAATGAAATATTATTCAGCCACACAAAAAATGAAATCTTACTATTTGCAACATGGATGGACCTTGAGGGCATTATGCTAAGTGAAGTAAGTCAGAGAAAGACAAATACTGTATGATTTCACTTACGTGTGGAATCAAACAAAAGAGCTCAAAGATACAGAGAACAGATTGGTGGTTGCCAGATGTAGAGGGTGCAGGATGGGCAAAATGGGTCAAAGGGTACAAACTTCCAGTTATAAATCCTGAGGATGTAATGTACAGTATGGTGGCTACAGTTACTAACATTGTATTGTGTATTGGAAAGTTGCTAAGAGTAGATCTTAAAAGTTCTCATCACAAGAAAAAAAAATTGTAACTATGTATGGTGACTGATGTTAACTGGACTTATTGTGGTGATTATTTTTCAATGTATACAAATTTCGAATTATGTTGTACACCTGAAGCTAATGTTATATATCATTGATACCTCAATAAAACATTAATTGTGCACATATTTTAAATCTTTTATCAATGTCCAGTTGGGCTCTTGCTTTTGAAATACTTTTCAGTTGCATAAGCACAAGTAAACATTGATAATTCCAATCCATATCTTTTCTTCCAAGAAGTATGACTTCAGAAAACCAAATACAAAACCCCCATGCTAGATATTTCTTTTGTCTTTTGAACTATTCTCTTCTTGAATTAGCCTCAGATCTCAAAAGACAACTGTCTTTGCTTGTTGGCAGATGGAATGGCTAATGATCATCAAAGAGAACCTTATGAAACAAATTATCATGCTTATTAAAGCTTCTCAATGTTTCTCCAAAAAGATTTCTAAATTATATCCATTTACCTGTGTTTTCTAAAGTTCCCAAAGTGAGCTCTTTTCTTGCAAAGGTACATGAAATTTGAGTTGAAATAATTAAGAAAGTGATCTATAAACATTATCATTTTCAGTTTCCTTTAATTAATGTAAAATTTCAGTTTTAAATTAAAACCATGATTGTTAATAAAATGGAACAAATCAACATGTCATAGAATTACTTGTAAAAGAACTTCAATAGTTTGATATCATAATTATCTAGTTTTTCATAACTGGTGTGAAAATTTACTGTGAGCAAGTCAACAAGTCTTCCCCTAAAGGATCTGTGGGGAAACCCTCAGGGAATTTTTCACTTCTGTCTAAAATCCGCTTCCTGTGCGCCTTTTGCCATCCACTAATTCAATAGTTAGCATACCCTGCCCCCTGGTGGTAAAAGTAAAAAATTCACACTGGTATGAATTCAATGTGCCTCTCTCCAAAAACATGAAAAGGGAATTACTTCATAAATCCCTTCAAAATATTACTTCAAGTATCTCCCCTCCCACATACTGAATCTATTTTATGATTTTATTATATTTAATTTAGTAAGTTATCTCAGAGAGAACAATGCTGTTACCACATTTGAATTCTTAATTGGCTAATACATTCTCTTGGAATGGAAAAGTTTAGCTGGATGATGCAGGCATAGAAAAGAAAACGAGTAATATTAAGCAAAGTTTATAAGAAAGTGCTGCTTTCTCCCTGTTTTAGTTTTTAGACAAGTTGAAACATAATCTCCACTGAACTGAGCCACTTATACCCAACACTAATTAGAATCTTGTCAAGGCTCGAAATCGTACTTCTCAAAGCATTCACAAGCGTCATTCTCAAGGAACTAAAGATACTGGAGTTAGTCACAATAAATGACCCTGACCTCAAATTTACAGCAATAAAATCATAATAGCTCACTAAATTACAAGAAATAGCAAAGAAGTTGTACTTTAAAAAAAAATCTGTTAATAATTTTCTATAAATAGCTTGAGAATATATTTATCTTTCATAAGAATCTTGCATGTGAAAAGAAACTGATCTTTTCTTGATCAGTTTTATTGACTTGTCCCAGGTCTGCACCAAAAAGGTTAGAAATGTCCTGGAATGTTAGCCATTTGGTACTTACTGATCATATTCCTAGCTGGATGTTGGTCTAAAGATCTAAGACTGTATCTTCAGTCATTGTTTCTAGCACTTTGCTTTCAGCCAAGTGAAATCTGTCAACTCAGTAATGCTAGGAACCCTATATTAAGTAGATTAAGCTGTAACTCAAAATGGATACGGAGCTCAAATGATACAAAGCTCTTGCCCAATTACAGGCTGCATGTTTGAGACTCAGTCAAAGGCCATTCATTGTGGGCTTATAGCTTATAATGCCTGTGGTACTATCTGGTGGGTCTATTATTAAAATCAAAGAAAATGCAAGATTTCTCCCTGCATTACATTTTTGAAACAGCCCTCCAACTTAAGAAAAACATCTCTTTTGACTTTGTAGCTATAATCATGCAGTAGCCAATATTTCAAAGGAAATAACATCGTGCCCTTCAAGTCAGTTTTTTATATCAAATTTTCAAACCATAAGAAATTTTAATGTGAGAAAGGACAGGTGAATGAAGCTAGGAACATTCATCAAAGAGACAAACGTGAAAAAAAAAAAAAAAGAGACAAACGTGATAATTTTCCTCATTGTTCACCTCTGACAAAGAAGTTTAAGTGTAATAAAATCTAACAAAAAAAGAAGAGAAGGGAAACCTGGCTTCTACTGACTATTATAAAATGATCTTTGAAAATGTTTTTTTTTTTATATGGCAGCTTTTCCTCATGGCATGCTGCCAGTGTTTGGATAAGATCTTTATCCTCTAAGTTGCTGTGTGTGATCTCTCTGGTCTGCGTCTCCACTCTGCTTTCACAAATGAAAGTGATTTGGTAGAGATACTCCCTGAGGTTTAAGATAGTACAGTTTGAACCAAATATTAAAAACCAGTGGAATTTTTCCTTTGATATCATAGCTGCATCTCACACAGATCTAAAAATAACTTGGGATGCCAAGTATCTTATGCAGGTAAATGGAAAGTAGGAGAGAAAAATTCCATAAAGGAAAAAGAGAACGCGTGGGGGAAATGCTACATCTAAATAACCATATTCAATTATTTTCCTTCCACAAATCCTAGAAAACTTTCCTATTGCAGCTATACATCACAGGTATTAAAAATCTAACGAATTTTTCGTCTGTATGTACGTACTTTAAGTTCTACCTGCTGACTCAGTCCATCTGAATATACTGTAGAGGGCAATTTATTTCTCCTTCCAGCTTTCTAACATTTGTCTGACTTGCATCACTTTAGCTCCTGTGACTGTAAGAAATAAATCAGGGAACTTATCTGTGTCTCTACCTACTGTTTCAAAAAACTCTAAGACAGTTTAAAATATTAAGGGAAAAAAAAAAAAAAAAAAGAGCGAGCTATTACCAAAACTCTAAAATGTCCGTATGTTGCTGGAAACAATACCAGCACAAGAGCAGAAGAAAAAAGGACCTGCCTAGGCAGCTCTGAGATGAAAGGGTAAACCCAGCGGCAATAAGCCCTGGTTGCATGCCTATCTCCCAGGGCTGGCTGCCACCCTGACTAGGTGTGATCGTGTTATGCTTGGCACATCTGCGTGTTTGCAGAGGGCCTTCAGTCGTGCAGTGGGAAGCAACGGATAAGAGGAGAAAAATGGGTTTTATCCAATGAGAGAACTTTGCCCCTTGGCAAGGCCCCAGACAGCTGTTACAAGTTTTCTCCCCCTGCTGCTTCGAGCTATTCTCTACAGGTTGCAGTTTCCTTTTAAACAAATCAGAGGGGTGATCAGTGCGAGGGAAGACATGGCATGAGGCACAACTGAACCGGGCTTTCATTTTTAGCAAAATGGGAAAAATAAGCTAAATGTGTAAAGAAGTCTCATTTTTATTTATAAAGTAAAACATGCGAATTTAATAGGTGCCATCCTATCCCCCTACTTATTCCTCTAAGTCAGTTTATAACATATATGGGCAAGGAAAGATGCTATATTCAATATGAGATAGAAGGGCCAGAGATATAAATATACAGGTAAGTCTATCTTCTTTTGAAGGTTCTCTTTTTTTTAGAAGAATTTCTATACCAGAAAAATGAAAACATGACTGAATGGAGTAAGTAGCCTGGGATTTGGAGAACCTCATTTTAAAAGCAAATGTTGGCCCTACGGAAAAGAAAGCTGAAATCCAGTTGAAGAGATTGATTTGTTATTTGAATCAGCTGCCTTTCACCATTTGAGAGAAACACAGCCTATATACAGTTAAAGGAAAATGGTAGAGATGTTTTGTCATGCACCCTTAGAAACTTGGAGTCAGGAGGCCCAGATTCTACTCCTGCCTCTGCTTCTCCTTTCTAGAATCAAAAACCTAGAAGGGGGGCTTCCCTGGTGGCGCAGTGGTTGAGAGTCCGCCTGCCGATGCAGGGGACACGGGTTCGTGACCCGGTTCGGGAAGATCCCACATGCTGCGGAGCGGCTGGGCCCGTGAGCCATGGCCGCTGAGCCTGCGCGTCCGGAGCCTGTGCTCCGCAAGGGGAGAGGCCACAACAGTGAGAGGCCCGGGTACCGCAAAAACAAACAAACAAAAAAACCCCCCACATTTTGGCTATAGTGAATAGTGATGCAAATGAACATGGGAGTGCTAATCTCTCTTCAAGATCCCAATTTCAATCCATTTGTACAGATAACCAGAAGTAGGATTGCTGGATCATATGGTAGTTCTACTTTTTAATTTTTTGACAACCCTTCATACCATATGTGGAAACAACCTAAATGTTCACTGACTGATGAATGGAATTTAAAAAGTGTCTATAGGGCTTCCCAGGGGGCGCAGTGGTTGAGAGTCCGCCTGCCGATTCAGGGGACACGGGTTCGAGCCCTGGTCCGGGAGGATCCCACA